ATCTGGCTCTCACTTCACCCTCACTAAAAATGGAAAGGACCATTGATGCCTCTGTATAGGCTGTCGATTCTCCCACTGAGTAACCCTGAGTCTTGCAAACAGCAGTCGGTAGTAAATGCTTGCCTTATCCTGGGCAAAGCTCGAGAACAGATTTTTTATAAAGGATAATTCCATATCATTCTTTCTAATGCAAATGACAGAAACCTAAATGGGCTTAAACAACAAAATAGGAAATGTGTTGTCTGGTGTAACTGAAAAATCCAGGGCCATTCCCAGCAGTTTCAGAAGGAACTAGATCCAGGGGGCTTGAATGATAAACCAGGATTCTATGTCTCCGCTTTTCTCTGTCCAGGCTTTAGTCTCAGGCACGTGCTCCTCATGTGATGGCAGCTTCAAGGCAAGATCATCTCTTTACTGCTTCAAGTCCAGCAATAAAAGAAAAATTTTCTTCCCTTAATTCCAACAAAATTCTCAGAAATGAGCCTCAGTAGGCTGCCTCGGGTCATACACCCATCCTTGAACCAATCACTGAGGTGCAGGGAACAGCAGATAAAAGCATGTGCCATCTTTCGGAACACGAGTCTTGTGCACTGCGTGTGGGGAGGCGTGGTCCTTCAAAGGAGAGACAGGAAAATGCTCCCGTAGGTGGAAGTTAGATGCTGAGCAATAGGCAGATCTGAATGGCTAGACTGGCGCAGGGACTATTAAGGCCCAATATGGGTTTTCCAAGAATAAATCCTGTCTGGTGAACTAATTTCTTGTTTCATTGGGTTATTGAACTGGTAGGTCAGGGCAAAGCTGGAGCCTCATGAGTCTGGAACTCTACAAAGTTCTGTTTATTTGTGTGCATGCAGCAGTGAACTGTGAGTTGAACAATGGTGCAGTCAGAGGTTTCTAGAGTAGAGGAAAGAGAAACGAAATGTTTGCTCTCAGTGTAATCTGCAACGTTGTCCTAACTGTGGAGCTGTTGGGCTCTGTCCTTGTTTCCGCCTTCAGGAACTTCTTCAACAAGAACTTGGTTGAAGTCCCTATGACTTTCCCAGTCTCCTCTGAGAATGACAGGAAGCTGAAGAAAATAGCAAGTATCCTCCCTGACAGCACCCACATCCTTAGACAGCTCCATATGGAAAAGAGGGATTAGATGTAGTATGATGGAATATAATTGGGATGAATTTAAGTCTCTGCGTCTAGTTACAAGAAACCAGCAACCTAAGGGTGGATGATGGCACACACTCAGTGGTTGGCAGCACCAATGGTGAAGACTGAGGGCAATGTTTCTCAACGTGTGGTGGGTCAGGTGGGCCAGGCCATTGGCAGCAGTAGGAAGAGCTGGTAAGGAGTGGGGGAGCTTGGTAAAAATAGATTCCTAGATGCCTCCCCAGACATGCTGAGTCAGAGCTGGGATAGGGCAGGATGTGGAGATTTGCATTTTATCCAGCATCACAAACGTTTCAGTGCATCTCCATGTCAAGGATGGCCGCACCACAGGCTCTGAGCTCCCCAACCAGTGGGCATTAGGAATGTGATGTCACTGGCCAATGGCTGATTCAGACCTTCCCATTGGGCCATCCTACCTGTGGGTCTGAGACAAGTTTTTCCCTGGCAGCTCTCCAATTTGACTTCATAAGTAGAATTCAGATGAGAGGTCTACCTCTCCTTCCTGCAAGGCTATCCAGCCTTCTGACATGGCTCTTAGGACCACATACAAGGGAACAGTGGAGCTGAGACCTGAGTGACAAAAAGGAACCTGCCATGTAGAAGGCCTGAGGACAGAGTGCTCTAGGAAGAAAGGCAAATGGGAAGCCTGGAAGTGGGGACAAGCTTAGATGTTGGAGAAATGAAAGGGAGGCCCTCATGGCTGGGGCCTGTGCAGAGCTACAGACATAGGCAGGGGCCAGATTATACTGGACATACAGGCTGTGCTCATCCATTGCTCTGCCTTCCAGGCACATAGTAACGTAGTTGGATTGTACTTCCTGGCTGTCTTGGTTGGGACCATGGGACAACGAATTATGAGCGGAACTGACACATGTTCTTCCTGGGCTGAGCAACAGATTACTGGCAGGTATTCCCTGTTCCTCTGCTTCCATGACCAACAATGTTCCAGAAAGTGCTATTATCCAGAGTTCTTGAGTGAGGGTGTCCCAGAGCATAGAGCCATGATGGACAAACAAGAAATAAGCCTTTGTTGATTCAAACTACCGAGCTTTGGGGGCTATTTGTTACTGTGATATAACCTAATCTATCCTGGTGCTACACAAACCTCTATTCTGGCTGAAGAGAGATGGGCAGAGAAGTGAACAAAGCACCTGAACTGAACAGAATAGCAAAAAGGAGATTTCCTGTATCCCAAATCTTATTCCCAAATTCTAATCCCAGAGTGGAAACTACAGGAAGAAGAAATATAAGGAGCATAGAGACTGAATCCAAACCAGAGATTCATCTCAGCTGGCTCTCCAGTCACAGAATAAGCATTGATAATGAAGCACTTCCCTCCCCCAGCCTCAGTAAGCTTGTCTGTATAATGGGAATAGTGCTGATTTAACAGAATTGTATGGGAGGATCAAGTCAAACAAGGATGTAGCTATATCCAGCAAACACCATTATTAATGTCACCTTATATCCCAGCCCCTATCCTATTCCTGCATCCTCAGCCACTTGCTTCTAGTGCCTAAACTCCAGGTCCTAATCATTTCCCCATACCTTGGGCCTCAAATGCAGGTGCTGCCACTCTGTCACCTCTCCAGCCCACCTCTTTCCTGTGGGACATGGAGAAAAGGTGATGATGTCAATGGACACACACTGCTGCTCCCCATCCCCCCGCTCCAGACCACTGGGGAGATCAGGTCCCCCCAACACTGCAGAAACACAAGCAGCCTCCAAAACAGAGTTTGAAAAGGAGAAGCTGGTGGACATTTTCATCTGGGCTCACATGCAGTTACAAAACAAATTATTTTTATTAGTTAAAATTTAAAAATCAAGCTGGAGGGCCAGGGATACAGCTCGGTGGCATAGTGCCCACCTGGCAAGCATGAGGTCCTGTGTTCGACTCCCAGTACCAAAAAAGAAAAAGAAAAGAAAGAAAGAAAAAATAAAGGTGGATGTGAAGGCTCATGACTATAATTCCAGCACTCTAAAAACTGCGGCAGGAGGGTTGAAAGTCTCCAGCCCAGCATTGGCTGTCTAGTGACTTAGTAGAACCCTGTCTCAAAATAAAAATTAAAATAGGGCTGGGGATAAGGCCCTGGGTTCAATCCCCAGTGCTGGAAAAAATTAAAATCAAGATATTTCACCTTCAGGGGTCTCTATTGACAGTTTGAAAGATGGAGCTATACTGGGTCCCAACCCCAGTGGAGACTGGAGCAAAAGAGCTAGCTGCCCCTTTAAATGTGCCCTGTCCCCAGTGTTGCCCGTCCCTGTCTGGCACTGGGGCCCAGGTGCACATCTAAAGCTTTGGCTGACATTTTTTATAGTAGAGTTAAGAGAGAAGCAAAATATTTCTTATAACCCTTCTCTATCAAAAGTAGAAAACAAAAGACAGACCGAGAGAGGGCCTCGTGTCTCAAGAAATATAGGAGAGCTCATATCTCTTTGTGGAAGCCAAGACCATTCTTATTTCACCTAGCCTGCAGCACCAATTTATATTATCGACCGGCCCTGTAGGCGTTCGAGTTCGCGACCCTCAACCTTCTCATTCTCCTCCTGACCCAGAGGGGCACCCTTTTCTTTTCAGATCAGCCGCCCGATGCACAAGGAGCGCGTCTGTCATTTCCTTTCTCCTTCAAGGCAGCCCTCTGTTTATTTTAACCAGATTAGGGAATGGGGGCGGGGAACAGGAGACTCCAGTAGCGGTCATTGCTGGAGCTCCGCGAGACGACGTGACTTGCCCAAGGTCACAGAGGCAGAAGCCAGAGCGTCTAGACCATACCCCAGGACTTTTCAGCACCCAAAGCCCAGCTCTTTCCTTCACGCCCACGTCTTGGGTGCCGTGCGCTCTCCGGGCGCAAACACTGCGCGACTTGTCCTAAACTGCGCCCTAAGGTTGTTTTCCTCGGCGAACTGCGCGGTGGGTTAGGGAAACCTTGGATCAAGCTGTTACGCTTGCCCCTGGAGTCCATCAGGATACGTGCTGGGTCTATGGGTGGCTCCGAGCGTGGCCTGCCAGTCACTGGGGCCCTGGGCAGCCCTGCGCGCAGGCTGGGGCCCCCGAGCTCTCCCGCAGTCCCCTCTATCCAAGCCGCCGGCTGGCAGCACACCGCGGTGCGCTGACCGCCTCCGAGCGCGGCTGGGAGGCGAGGACTAGGGAGAGAGGACTGCAGAGGAACCTGTCCGGGGCACCCCAGCCCTGGGCCGCTCTCTGCAGGCTGGCGCCGCGCCGGGGTCGCTGCAGCCCTGGGCCCCTCCCGGGCCACCTGTGCGCAGACTGGCGGACCCCCAAGAGCCCAGATCCAGAGAACCAATCCACTCCGGGTTTCAGACTCGAGTCCCGGTCCCTGGAGACCGCGAGGGGCGGTGTGAGACCTCCCCGCCCACCACCCCAGCCCCCTCCCTGGGGGAACCTCAGGCGTCGCCTGGAGGGATCCCCGGCGGTGGGGGTGGCCCGCGCGCGCCAAACGGGGCGGCCCGGCCCCTCCTTCCTCCCCCCCGCCCCGCCCC